CGGGAGACCGGCCCAGGTCTCAAAAAGGTTGCCTGTGCCTGGTCTAGTAACTTTAAAAATCATAGCAGCAAATAATTTCTGTGTGTGCATGCAACTTCTGTTAAACATGTAGTTCTGCTGAAAAGTTATGTTAAACACAATATTTTATTGCCACCTTCAAATTGTTTTTTCTACAAATATTTAGACTACAGAATTCCCACAGATAAACTTGTACAGTTTAAACTCTTTTGACTAACTGAGGAATTTAACAGATTTTTAGATGCAATGGGTGTGAGTGTCCCTAGCAGAGCTATTAAACTGTCAAGCAACAAAGAGCTAAAAATGTTCTAGCTCACTTTTTGGACACTGCCACCATTCCTTGTATTTCATGGGAAATCATGTTTTGTTTTTAGTTGCGACTAGTGATGGAAATAGCAGTTTAAAATATTTAAGGGACAGATAAAAAAATGGGTTGCCCAAGTATCGGGAAACTCAGACAAAAATATTGGAAGAATGAGAATCTTCAGTTTGGAACTTATTTTGCACACACAAACACCCAAAAAACCCCACCCTTTTTTGCATAGAAGATAGCATTTTCAACACAGCAGGTTTCCTCAACACAAAACACAATGCAAAGAAAAATATTTCTGCCATTTCATGTGGGGGGGGATCCTTATGCATTTTTATTAAACTGCACATACTTTCAAAAACTATGAATTTTGAGGATATAATTCTTGTAGTAGACATTAAAGTAGCAAAATTATTCTTTGTTGCCTCCAAACATACTAATAATATTATAATATTTTTTTATTTATAGCCCACCCCTCTGCGCAGCAATCGGGGCTGGTTACAGCATTTAAAACATGAAATGTACACAGATTTATAGCCCTGTGGTCAACTGATGACAATTTATTTATTAAATATTTGATGTTTAGTCAGTTAACTTATTTAAAGGTAATTGTACACTGCTCAACAAAACCTCACTGCTATATGCTTCCACAGTATCATCTTGGCAAGAGACAGATTTTCTTTTTTTATTTTCTGTTTTGAAAAGTCAGGGCTCTGATTTCATCTTTGTTTCTTGCTTTGGGGAGTTGCCTTATTAAAATGTCTTCTGGTTTTAAAAATGTATTGTTAGATACATGCACCGCTGTTATCCGTCATTGCTGATCTCATCTTGGTTTATTTTGTAGTGGTTTAAATTTTAGGTTTGACATATTTTATTTGTGCATTTTAGGAACTTAATTTTATCCTCTCAAATTCCCAGTGAAGGTTGG